GCAGGAATTGGAGATCTTTCACTGGACTCTGATTGGATGGTCAACCCCATTGGCCAACACCTTCCTGAAGGATAGCTCTGGCCCACTGCCAACGAGTTGGGTGCTGGGAACATGGCACCTTCAGAAGACGGCTGTGTGAGGAGGATGTTTCTCCCCATGCTTTCTCCCTGAGGTGATGGGACCCAAGTGGGGCACACCCCAAATCCAGGGGTCCCCCCCACAAAAGCAAGTGTTGGAAGATCACAGGAGAGGTGGCCAACGGGTTGGAAGGTTAACAGGACTTTTTTGGTGCCCTGAGAGCCTGCTGCATGGTGGCCACCATAGATCAACTCATCAGAGAAACCATCAATGATACCAGTACCCACCAGTACACACCAGCTCCCAAAGACGGAACCTACCCCAGACGGACACCACTCTCACTAACCGCCTGCCAGGTCCTTTTGGCTTGGATGAGGCTTCCTGACACCCTTTCTTGATCCTCAGGGACACCATGAGGTCCCTTGATCCTTACAGAGCTGCCATGAGGTCTCTTCAAACTTTCCATAAAGAAGAGTAGCAAAGACTTCTGGGAAAGGCAGGAGCTTAGTACAACAGTGGTTATCATATAGAGGCATGTGGATATTACAAGTCTATCGTCTGTGTCAAGATGGTGACACAACTGGTGGGGAGAGGCATGTACAAGCACACGGGGTGGATGAGAAGGGGAGGAGACACTTTCCAAGGACAAGGCATTGAATCCAGATGAAATCTGCTCCTAGATCTTCCAAGTAATGCCAGTTTGGCCTACAGGTGGGAGAAGAAGACCTGATGGGCCTGGAGACCAAGAGCTTTCTGGGAATGAAGCAGTAGCAGACCCCTATTGCTGAAACTGAGGTGATTCTTCCCTCCTGGAAGGCCTTGGTGATTTCCGGGCTGAGTTTTAGTCCAGGAAAGAGGGAAAATACAAGGCTAAGTAGAAAAGAGCATGTAGGGATGGAGGCAATGAAACATCCCACCTCACCACCTTGACCTTGACCCCGTGACACCTGCCATAAGTGGGCGCTGATACAGGAAGTGCTGAGATAGACACAAGAGATTGGGCTGGGGATTGGAGGCAGCCACCATGATGTGGTGGCACCATTAAAGGCTCATAGGTCACTGGATGGAGGAGGTTGGTGGTGTAGAGTGGGGAGCCCAGACACATGGGTTCTTACCTTGTAGGAGGTTGGTGGGGTGGGGTTGGGAGCCTGGACACCTGGGT